ACACTGGGCATGTGTGCATGCGTGCCCAAGATCCCAAGAGGAGAATGGAGGAAAAGGGATTGTGGCATGGCCATTCCCCCTGGGGGATGATTTCTCACTTTCTGTCTCTCTCTTTCTGGCAAGTACACATGCACTATAACAAAAGCCTCTCAAAATAATAATAATAATAATAAGGGTTTGGTCTGGGGCATAAGGCTGCCAGTTTTTTTGTTTTTGTTTTTATTTTTTTGGAGAGGTTTTCGCTGTAGGGTGCGTGTGCTCGCTGGAAAGACAGAGAGAGACAGAGAGAGAGAAAGTGAGAAATCACCCCCCCCCCCAAGGGGGATGGCCATGTCGCAATCCCATCTCCTCCATTCTGTTCTCGGGATCTTGGGCATGCACGCACACACGCCCAGTGTGAGTTTAAGCCACTGAGTCTGGGACTCGAACCATGGTTGACTACATGGGAGTCCAGGGATGTAGCCATTACGCTAACTGCTGGTCCCAAGGCCGCCAGGTTTTGAGGCCCAGCTCCATCATCTACCAGCTGTGGATAGTGGTAAATAACCTCTCATCACTTTTTTTTAAAAGAATTATTTATTTAATTTCATTTATTATTATTATTTTAATTCACCAGAGCAGAACAAAGGGAGAGAAACAGAGAGAGAAAGGGAAAATGAGAAAGTAAGTTGCCAGGTCCGGGACCTGAACTACAGTCAGTCATGTGGAAGTCCAGTTCCTTAACCACCATGCCACCTGCTGGACCAGCATCAATTCTATTTTCTTTAGGAATAATAACAGTTTAGAGTAATTAGAATAGTACCTAGCACATAAGATACCCTCTGTTAGTGTTAGTTATTAAATTAAAAATAATAACATTAATTTGACAATTTTATTTTATTTAGAGAGATTTTTGTTATAGGGTGTGTGCATTCACCAGAGAGAAAGAGAGAGAGAAAAAGTGAGAAATTACCCCCCGAGAGGATGGCCACACCACAATCCCTTCTCCATTTTCCTCTCAGGACCCTGGGCACACTTGCATACATGCCAGCGAGACTTTTAAGCCTCCAGGTCTGGGCCTTGAACCACAGACGGCTATGTGGGAGTCCAGCCCTGTAACCACTATACCACCTCCTGGCCCCTTATCTTTATTTTCTAACTACCACAGGGAGTGTGTGCTCATCAGAGAGAGAGAGACAGAGACAGAGACAAAGAGAGAGAGGGAGAGGGAAAATAATGCCCCCTCAAGTGTGGGATCACACGGCAATTCCTTTTCTTCCCTTTCTCTATCCCACCAAGATTTGGGGGATACCCGCACATGCGCCCAGCATATCTTTCAAGCCATCTGGCCCAGGATTTGAACTGTGGTCAGTAAAGGTTTAGCTGCTGCATTCATTATAGGGCTGATCCAGTACTGTGCATTATTAATGTTCGATTTTTGAAAAAGTTTATGTATTTCATGAGTGGGAGAGAAAGAAGGAGAGCAAGTATCCCCAACAGGGTCCTGATGCCATGAATCCACCCAGCCTTCAGTCAGCCCCAGATCGTGGGCAAGCACGTGCCCAGCATACTCATGGAGGTCTCTGGACTGGAACCAGGAATTGCCGTATGAGATTGCCACCTGGAAAATCGTGTTTGACCACTGTGTGACCATCCAGCCCCTATTGTTCAATGTTTTGACTCAACACATTTATTGTGTCAAGTTACCCAGGCCTCGAGGTATCCAATAGACGCAAGATGGGAAGATTTGATTAGAGAATCCTGGGAAAGGAAGACCTAAAACCTGGGCCTGAAGCCAGAAACCGTCTCCTTGCCTTGGAGACTCACCAAGTCGTAGCTCGCTTTTTCACAGAGAAATCTGTCTGGAGAGACATCATCTGGCTTACGGTAGACCCAGATCTGTATCACATCAAGACTAAGGCTTTCCTTTCTTTTTTGTAGAGGTTTTTGCTTTAGGGTGCATGTGCTTGCTGGGGAGGTGGTGGAGGGACGGACACAGTGAGAGGGAAAGTTAGAAATCACTTCCAGGGGGATGGCCACACCAGAATCTCTTCTCCTCCATTCCCCTCCCGTGATCGTGGGCCTCCACGCACATGTGCCTGGTGTAAGCTTCAAGTCACCGGGTCTGGAACTCGAACCAAGGTCAGCCACATGTGAGAGTCCAGCAATGTAACTGTTTCGCCATCTGCTGGCCCCAAGTGTAGGGCTTTTCTGAAAGTTATATTAACACGGGTTTACAAGGAAGAGAGCAAATGACTAGTCCAAACGTCTGGGTGGAGAACGTTCAGCCTTTCTTCCTGAGGGTCTTTCTTTTTTTTTTTTTTGCTCGAAAATATGCAAAATAAATTGTACTGTTGCTCTGCTACTGAAGATTCTTTTGCTACTACATCAGTGCCCTATCCACTGACAGGTGTGATACTGCCGCCTGGGTTGGTTGCTCCCCTTGGCATCTTCAGGCATCCTGGGCCAGACATTCTCAGGGAGCTGTCTCCCGTGACATCTGTTCTTCGGTTTTCTACCCTCACAGATGCGCTTCCTCCAGCAAAGAGTGGGTGAGAGCATTTCTCCTCTTTGAAACATCCTCGATTAACTCCCGATAGCTAAGACAAGCAGTCCTTTCCACTTCCCAGGACTTCAACTATTTGGCCAAGTGAGGCGCACAACCAGCATTAGCTCCATACTCGCACAGACAAGGGCTTCGATCCACCCGAGCAGCTGCAGAAAAGCAAAGCCGTCTGTCTCCAGATTCAAGGTAATGCCAATGCCTTGCTCCCAGAATCCTGAAAACTTGATTTAAAAAAATTCTGGGGGCTGGACCATGATACAACAGTAAATGATGCTCTGGAAGGTTGACCTGCAACAGAAGGTTCTAGATTTGTGTACAGAGACCTCCCTAAGTACACTGGACACACATGAGCCCATGGTCTGAAACTGGCTGATGTTCAGGTTAGATTGCAGCACTAAGACCCTGTTGGGGATGCTGTCTGTCTTTGTCTTGCTCACTCATTAAAAAATAAATAAAATAAACTTTAAAAAATGTTGA